TGGGACCACCTCATAAGATTATATATATTTGGGCCTGTTGACCGAAATATGAGATACATGACTGTAATAAAATTTAGATATCAGTAAAATGAAAAGCCAATAGAGAAAAAAATTTTAAACTGGTTATTTGAAAAGATCGATAAAATTAATAAGGCTTTACCCAGGCTAAGGAAATCAAGCAAGTAGGCACAAATTACTAATATCAGAAATGAAAGAGGGCATCATTACAGAGCCCATGGACATTAAAAAGATAATAAAGAAATACTATAAACATCTCTATGCCTACAAATTTGATGACCCATGTGAAATAGACTAATTCTGATTATGTTGTACATGATAAAACTGGATAGATCTATATCTTTTAGAGAAATTAAAAAATAAATAATATTCCAAAACAAAACCATCAGATCTAGATGAGTTCGCTGGTGAATTCTACTAGACATTGATGGAAGAAATTATATCAGTTCTCCGAAATTTCTTCCAGAAGATAGAAATAGATAGAATACTCTCTAACTCATCCTATGGGATCGGCATTGCCCTAAAACCCAAACCAGACAAAGGTATTACCATAAAACTACAGACCAATATCTCTAATGATTCTAGATGCAAAAAATTCTCAATAATGTATGAAAAGCTTTATATACCAAAACTAAGTGGGATTTATCTCAGATACACAAGGCTGGTTCAACATTTGAAAGTCAGTTAATGTAACCCATTCACATCAGTCAAAAGAAGGAAAATTACACAATCACATTAATAGATACATAAAAAGCATTTTGCAAAATCCACGTTTTTATTCATAATAAAAACTCTCAGAAAACTGGGAATAGAGGGATATTTTCTCAACTTGATAAATAGCATTTACAAAAAAACTACTTCTAAGATCATACTAAATGATGAGAAACTAAAAGCTTTTCCACTAAGATCAGGAATGAGGCAAGGATACCCCCTTTCACCACTCATTGTCAACAACATTCAAATATAGACCCACGCAAATATTCTCAATATAGTTAATGCTATCTTACTTCAAGCCTTACTCTAAAGCCCCAGTAGTCAAGACAGTTTGATCTTGGCACAAAAAGAGAAAAATGCATCAGTGAAACAATACAGAGCCCAAAAATAAAAACATACAGTCAACTGATGTTTTACAAAATAACAGAGGCAATACAATGGAGAAAAGATAGTATTTTCAACAAGTGGTGCTGGAACAACTGGACATCTACATGCAAGAAAAATGAATCTGGACACATACATTACAACCTTCACCAAAATTAACTCAAAATGGATCACAGACCTAAATTTAAAATGTAAAACTGTAACATTCCTATAAGATAACCATCAGAGAAAATCTAGATGGCCTCTGTTTGGCCATGACTTCTTTTGGTACAACACCAAGGTAAGATACATGAAAGAAATAACTGATAATTTGGAATTTATTAAAATTAAAAACCTATCTGCAAGAAAACACTGTTAAGAGAACGAAAAGACAAGTTACAGATGAAGTGAAATATTTTCAAAAGTTATATTTGATAAAGGAGTTAGCCAAATACACGAAGAACTCTTAAAAATCAACAATAAGAAAATAAGTCCAAGCACAGAGGCTCATGCCTGTGATCGCAGCATTTTGGGAGGCCAAGGCAGGTGGACCACTTGAGCTCAGGAGTTTGAGACCAGCCTAAGAAACAAAGTAGGACCCTGTTCCTACAAAAACTACAAAAACTAGCGGGGCATGGTGCCATGTGCCTGTAGTCCCAACTACTTGGGAGGCTGAGGTGGGAAGATAGTTTGAGCCTAGAAGTCAGAGGTAGCAGTGACCTGAGATTGCACCACTGCACTCCAGCCTGGGTAAGAACCAGACCTTATCTCAAAAAAGAAAAAAAAGAAAAAAGATAAGAAAATAAACAAGATGATTTAAAAATGAGCAAAACGGCTGAAGAGACACCTCACAAAAGATGACACAGATGGCAAATAAGCATATGAGAAGATGATCAAAACCATATGTCATTAGGGAAATGCAAATTAAAACAACAATGAGATACCACTATACACCCATTAGAATGGTAAAAATCCAAAACATTGACAACAAAAGCTAAGAAGGATGTGGAGCAACAGGAACTTTGATTCATTGCTGATGGGAACAAAAAAACTATAGCTACTTTGGAAGACAATTTGACAGTACAAAGCTAAATATACTCTTGCCATATAGTCCAGCAATCATGCTCCTTGGTATTTACCCAAATGAGTTGAAAACAGCCACACAAAATCCTACACATGGATGTTTATGGCAACTTTATTAATAATTGCCAAAACTTGGAAGCTACCAGTAGATAAATATATGAAATGTATGTCTTATTTCATTCAGACTGCTATAACAAACGACAATAAACTGAATGACTTATAAAAAACAGAAATTTATTTCTCATGGGTTCTAGAGGCTGGGAAGTCCAAGATTATGGTGCCTGAAGATTCGGTGTCTGGTGAGAGCCTATTTCCTGGTTCATAGTTGGTGCCTTCTTGCTGTGCCTTCACATGATGAAAGGGACAAGGCAGCTCTCTACCACCTCTTTTATATGGGCACTAATCCCAGTTATGAGGGCTCTACCCTCATGGCCTAACCACCACCCAAAAGGTTTTACCTCCTAATGTTATCACCTTGGGGGTTAGAATTTCAATATATAAAAGGGGAAACACAAATGTTTAGACCATAGCACTGTGGTACATCCATACAATGGAATATTAATCAGCATTAATAAGAAATGAGTTGTCAAGTCATGAAAAAACATGGAGGAAACTTAAATGCACACTACTGAATACTACATGAGTTTCTGAAAAAAGGCAAAACTATGGAGATAGTAAAATGATCAGTGGTTGCACAGGAGAGCAGGAGGGATGAATAGGCAAAGCACAGAAAATATTTAGGGCAGTGAAACTATTATATGTGACACTATAATATTAAATGTATGCCTTTATAATTATTTCAAAGCCCATAGAATGTACAATGCCAAGCATGAACTCTGATGTAAATTATGGACTTGGGTGATAATGATGCATCAATGTAATTTCACCAATTGGAATAAACATACCAGTGTAGTGTGGAATGTTGATAGTATGGTAGGCTGTGTGTGTTGGAGGTGGATGAGAGGGGGGTTAAGTATATATGAAAACTCTTTTCAGCTCAATTTTTCTGAGATCCTAAAATTCTGTAAAAAATAAAGTATATATTTTTTTAATTTAGTGAGAAATAATTTTCCTTTTACCAATGAAAAGTAGCCTAAAGGAGACATAGGTAAAATATTATTCTATCTATTTATGACAAACCAACAGCCAATATCATACTGAATGGGCAAAAACTGGAAGCATTCCCCTTGAAATGTGGCACCAGACAAGGATGCCCTCTGTCACCACTGCTATTCAATATAGTATTAGAAGTTCTAGCCAGAGCAATCAGGCAAGAAAAAGAAATAAAGGGCATTCAAATAGGAAAGGAGGAAGTCAAATTGTCTCTATTTGCAGACTACATGATTGTATATCTAGAAGACCCCATCGTCTCAGCCCCAAACCTCCTGAAACTGATAAGCAAGTTCAGCAAAGTCTCAGGATACAAAATCAATGTGCAAAAATCAAATGCATTCCTATACACCAATAACAGACTTAAAGAGAGCCAAATCAAGAACAAAATTCCATTCACAATTGCCACAGAGAGAATAAAATACCTAGGAATACAACTAACAAGGAACGTAAAGGACCTCTTCAAGGAGAACTACAAGCCACTGCTCAACGAAATAAGAGAGGACACAAACAGATGGAGAAACATTCCATGTTCATGGTTAGGAAGACTCAATATCGTGAAAATGGCCATACTGCCCAAAGTAGTTTACAGATTCAATGCTATCCCCATCAATCTACCAATGACCTTCTTCACAGAAATGGAAAAAACCACCTTAAACTTCATATGGAACCAAAAGAGAGCTCGCATAGCCAAGTCAATTCTAAGCAAAAAGAACAAAGCGGTAGGCATCACACTACCGGACTTCAAACTATACTACAAGGCTACAGTCATCAAAACAGCATGGTACTGGTACCAAAACAGAGATATAGACCAATGGAACAGAACAGAGGTCTCGGAGGCAACACAGCATATCTACAACCATCTGATCTTTGACAAACCAGACAAAAACAAGCAATGGGGAAAGGATTCCCTGTTCAATAAATGGTGTTGGGAAAGCTGGCTAGCCATGTGCAGAAAGCAGAAACTGGACCCCTTCCTGACACCTTACACTAAAATTAACTCCAGATGGATTAAAGACTTAAACATAAGACCTAACACCATAAAAACCCTAGAAGAAAATCTAGGCAAAACCATTCAGGACATAGGTGTAGGCAAGAACTTCATGACCAAAACACCAAAAGCATTGACAACAAAAGCCAAAATAGACAAATGGGACCTAATCAAACTCCACAGCTTCTGCACAGCAAAAGAAACAATCATTAGAGTGAATCGGCAACCAACAGAATGGGAAAAAATTTTTGCAGTTTACCCATCTGACAAAGGGCTGATATCCAGAATTTACAAAGAACTAAAACAGATTTACAAGAAAAAAACTAACAAGCCCATTCAAAAGTGGGCAAAGGATATGAACAGACACTTTACAAAAGAAGACATACATGAGGCCAACAAACATATGAAAAAATTCTCATCATCACTGGTCATTAGAGAAATGCAAATCAAAACTACATTGAGATACCATCTCACGCCAGTTAGAATGGCGATCATTAAAAAATGTGGACATAACAGATGCTGGAGAGGATGTGGAGAAATAGGAACACTTTTACACTGTTGGTGGGAGTGTAAATTAGTTCAACCATTGTGGAAGACAGTGTGGTGATTCCTCAACGACCTAGAAATAGAAATTCCACTTGACCCAGCAATCCCATTACTGGGTATATATCCAGAGGATTACAAATCGTTCTACTGTAAGGACACGTGCACACGAATGTTCATTGCAGCACTGTTTACAATAGCAAAGACCTGGAACCAACCCAAATGCCCATCGACGATTTCTCTGAAACTGTGTATGTTTCTACAAAAAGAGAGACTGGCATAATAAGGCCCAATTCTTGCTATTGAGGCTGTAGATTATATTATTAATTTAGTACAGATTTATTACAAACTTCTACAAAATGTAGCCACAGAGCTTGACAATATTGGAAAGAACGTCATAGCCCCTGCTTTCTGCATACTGCAAACCTAACATTTTGTCACTTTATGTTCTTATAAGGGAGTGTCATGCAGGAGAGGTGTCCAGAGGATGACTTTTCTGAGATCCTTCTATTCAGAAACAATGGGAATATAATTTTCTTGGTAGCAGAAAAATGACTGGTAGGAATGATGGCCCCAAACTTGGGTGAGAAATCTGTTCTACACACAACCCTGGAAACATAAGTTTCAGAGAAATTTACCAATAGCTAACCTGGTGAAACTCACTTGATCTAAAAGCTACTGGAATCTCTATGAGACTTGGAAGCCTCCTGTATTTGTACTGCTGAATATAAAGGCTAACATCTCTCCTGTCACACTGGTATCTAGGTGAATACAATAATTTCTTTTATCAGCAAAATAGATTCATATTTTACTAAATGTCTGCATCTGTGTTTTAATAGTAGAACACTATTCATAATGTTTTTGGTTTCTGTTATAGTTCTAAAAGCAAAGCAAACCGTTTAAAATAAAATTTCCTTAATTATCCAAAACTATAAGGCTAGTTTTAGTTTTAAAGTTACTTCATTCATATGTTCATTCAACTGTAATTGCTACTTCATTCATTTCTCCATTCAACTATTCAAAAATTGCTTTTAGCATCTACTGTTTGGCTTATATTTTGCCTAACCTTCAGTGAATTTTGTGACCACCATTTTGTTATCTTTATTCTGGCATACAAAGTGAATGACACCTGATGACCTTGTTGGAAAATGAAGAATCTTGTGCCTCATCCACTTCCATCTGTATATTTAATATGCCTTTCTATTCATACCCACCTTATCTTTGAATAGCATGTTTAGATTATGTAAATATGTGGGTGAAGCACGGTGGCTCAACACCTATAATCCCAGCACTTTTGGAGGCCCAGGCAGGTGGATCACTTGAAGTCAGGAGTTTGAGACCACCCTGGCCAACATGGCACAACCCCGTCTCTACTGAAAATATAAAAAAGTAGCTGGGCATGGTGGCACATGCCTGTAATCCCAGCTACTTGGGAAGCTGAGGCACAAGAGCCACTCAATCTCAGGAGGCAGAGGTTGCAGTAAGCCAAGATCTCGCCACTGTACTCCAGCCTGGGCTACAGAGAGAAACTCTCTCTCTCAAAAAAAGTTATGTAAATATATGTATTAATTTTCTCCCATGTAGAAGATTTTCGTTTAGTATAATAAAAACATAGAAAAAAATAACTATATTCACTCTAAGGGAAAATATAACTATTAATATTGAAACATATTTTCCTTGACAGGGCTTAAGTAGCACTGTTCCACAAAATAATAGATATGGGGAAATTATCAAGAAAAACATAATTCATGCTCTTTTAAAGTCTGCCACATCAATGAAACGTTGTGAACAAACACCTGTGACTCATTTCTACATTTAGAGGATATGATTGTAGACATATATTGTCTTGGGAACTCTGTCCCTGCCTTTGTGACGATTGTCACCTTGTTTCCAGTCCAGCTTACTCTTCTTTATATAGTCCCAGACTTGATTATCAGATAGCCCTATTGATTCTGAGGGGAAAAAATTACAGAAGATTCTGTGACACTTAATTCAGCATAATGTAATGGTCTCCTATAGGTTTTCTCATTTATATATTTTGAACCAGACGATTTAGCTTTTTCATACTATTTGTTACATTGGATACATGCATGCCTGACCAGATTATGTGTGAAACTGAGCCCCAAACGTGGGTGACCTTGAATAATTGTCCTTTTCCTTTTTGTCTCTCATTTATTCATTATGATTTTTCGTATCTCATCCATCTCATTATATGGATCTACTTCGACAACAGAGGAAGTGTCTCATGGAGGGTGAGAGAAACAACTTCAGAGAAAAATAAAATACAAGGAAGGCCCAGAGTCAAAATAAATGGAAGCATAAAGGGTACTAGCAACAAATAACTGCTTGCCATATTGAGACACCGTGGGAGATTCCCAAGTTGCCCAAAGATGCTATTAAATTCACACTGCCTGACTTCATGCCATTCTCTTAGGATTTACAGCAACTGCCAGAAGCCAATTGAAGTTTTTCCAGGCTATTCTCTACCTCCTCTTCCAAATTCTTAATGTTCTTAAAAGCCATTGAAACAAGTTAATGAGAAAGGTTGTAGAATTTTTTTCTTTTAAACCTAGGGCGAAATAATGGTGTCCATGGGACCGTTTGGGCTCTGTGTGAAGGCACAAATATCTAAGGAGTCTCTTAGGGATTTTTTGTTTCAGCAATTACACAAACAAATTTTTAATTAAAATGTTACAATAGAAATAATGATAAGTTTAGTGTGTGGGTGATAAAGCATACAATTTTTAAGTATGCAGATATAGCCAAGCTAATATGCCAACTATGTTGGCAAGAGATGCTTTTGGCTGAAAGCAGTTTAAATTTTACCCAAGGTGACGATCAGAGGAAATGATGGTAAGTAGTGTTGGGGCAGATACCCATTAACGTCACCAAAGATCCAGATTCTTTCTCTTTTTGTGCTCCACTCTGTTGGGTGTTTTGGCCTTCGGTCTTCATGTTTTGACATCATTATATTGAGGGGAGTTCTATAGCTGCAGTAATGAAGTCCATGAAGAAGGGAAAGCGCTGGTACTGCCACACTTGTTTGATTTATGAGAAAAGCAAAATTTTTCCTAGAAGGGCACTAGTATACAACCCCTTACATCTCATTACTTTTGGTTCTTATGTCCACTGCTAGATTCAGGAAGATTGGTAAGCTGATTTGATGGGTATTTTTATCCTTTATAGTAAGAAGAAAGAAAGCCAAAGTGTTGGGATGACCATTGGGGCAAACAACCAGGAGTATCTAGAACGCAAACTAAATTCAGTGGATTTTATGAATCTTTGTTTCATGCACCGTAAATATGTGACTCTTGAAGATAAATTTATGAAAAAATAGGTATTATGACAGAAAACTTCCTATACAATTGCTTATCAGGATAAACTATCATTTCTCTATAGAAATCCTTGGGTTGGTTAACAAGGGAAACGTTGCTATAAATTAAAAGTGACATTACAAATGTCAGTTATTTTATTAAAGAGACAAACGATAGAGATTCTGAAAAAATTATTGGAATTTTTTTAATTTTAAAAAATAGCTGCATAAATTCTATCAAAATTTTCAAGTAAAAAAAATGAATAAATGTCATTGTTTTAAAAACAATGTGGTAAACAGATTTGAAAAATTAAATGTCATTGGACTTTATAATCATTAGATTTCTAATGTGGATGCCTCTGACAAACAATTAATCAAGCTTCAACAGTTGGATGAATCATTCTCATTCTTTGACTTTGTTACCTGGGGCATTTTCTTTTTTAATTGCCGACTGAATATATTTCAGATGATTTTGATAATTATTGATGAGTGAATTGCACAAAATTGTGAAATTTGGGTTCACTTGGATAAGAAAAGTCAAACAATTGAGCAATTCATTTCAATAAACTGAAGTTCTGGAAAATCAGCTTGAAATGACATTTAGGAATCTAATTTAATTTCTACATATTGGGTACTAACATAACCATGGACCAAGGATTTTGCATCACACACTAGTATTTGAAGTTAGAAAAGAGTTTAGAGATCATCTTCTGTCACTTCAGATCATGTACGGTGGAAGTAAATTAGGTTTACATTAACTCCCTTAATTCTTTATATGAAGAACTTTAGTTTAGAGGAGATTAAGTGATTTGATCAAGACACAGTACTATACTAGTTAGTTAAATCAAGAGCTGAAAGCAAATTGGCTTAACTCTTGCATCAATATGCAATCCACTAGTTTTATATTTTTCTGTAAATTAGGGTCATATCACTGTTTCACTTGCTACATTGTATACTACAACAGAAAACGGATTGGGATAAAAATTGCAGATCAGCCACAATTTCTAAATGATGCTAATATATGAGAGGTGTGAGATTAAGGGACCTGTATATACATTTTAACATAGCCAGTTACTGCAAAAAATCAGTAATTAACCGAGCTAGAAATAAACGAAATGTTGGACTTAAAAGAAAAACGGCAAGATACCTAATCAAAATCAGATGACAGTGTAAAGACTCTCTGTTGTATTTCCTCTCTATTGTGTTCTCTAAGAAATCAATTTGACGGGAGGACAATGAAAATATTTGTTGTAGTCAGATGATTGAGTTCTCATCTGGGGAGTTATAAAGGTAGTTAGAGAAAGAAAGGTTTTCTGTTAACCGCGTCTGTGTTCTCTTACATTTGCTGGGGTCAGAGTTTCCTTGCAAGGCTAAAAATAGTTTTCAATTTTTCCCAACAGGAGTATTTTTGTGTGTGTAATTAAATACGGGATAATAACAATAGCTAATATTTAGTAAGCTCTTTATTTGTTTCTCGAGCTGTAACTCATGCTTTGGAGTCTTGCTTACTTGATTTTGACAAAAATTCTGTGAGATAATATGGTAGTCATTAGAGCTGATCACAAATATTTCTTATTCTGCTGGGAAATGGTAAGAGTGTTCTCCTCCCTTGGAGTTAAGTATGGTCATATGTCTTGCTTTTAGACAATGACATGTAAGTGAAAGTGATGATTGTCGTTATCTATCGGCATCTTTAAGGACCAATATGCAATTCATCAGGATCTCTCTGCCCTCTGCTAGTGCTACTAGCAGTGTTCCATAGAGTGTGCTCTATTAGCCTGTGTCTTAGAGTCAGACCCACTGGAGTACAGTTCTTAGCTGCCTTGCAATAGAAATGTAGAGGAAGTGGGAAATAAACTTTGAATTATTTGTTACTGCAACATAGCCTAATTCATTCTTACTGGTACATGTAATTATTATTTCTATTTTCTTCAATTTATAGGGGAAGAAAATGAATATAAGTAATTTGTCAATGATGACACCATTAGTTAAGTAGAACCAGGATGCAGTCCAAGCAGTCTGACTCCAGAGCTCACATGCGTAACTACCATTTTATATAGCTATGGTAATAACACTTTGTTTTGAATAAGATTGTCCATTAATATGATGCAGAGTCCTTAATTTATGAGCAGAGAGAGGTGATTATTATTTTTAATTCACTAACACATGACATATTTTTAATACTTACAAATCACACATGCATAAAGCCCACTGCTTATTCCATCAATAGTATATGGCTGAATGTTGTTGCTCTCAGGGAAGAAAAGAGTATGGAGAGGTCATCAATACATATTTCTAGGGGTCTTTTGAAAATATTCTGGCATTAGTCTATTTGGGCTGCCATATCAGACTGAGTAGCTTAAATAACAGAAATGTGTTTTTGCACAGTTCTGGAGATAGGAAATTCAAGATCAAGGTATTTGTCAGTTTCATTCCTGGCAAGGGCTCTCTTCCTGGCCTGCAGTCAGTCACCTTCTTGCTATGTTCTCATACAGCAGAAAGAGAGTGTGTGTGTGGGTGTCTCCTCTTCTTATAAGGGCTCTAGCCCTATCAGATTAGGGCCTCACCCTTGTGACCTCATTTATCATCTCCTCACAGACCTTATCTCCAAATACAGTCACACTGAGGGTTAGAGCTTCAATGTATAAATCTGGCCGGCAGCAGGGATGGGGGACACAAACATTCAGTCTGTAACAATCTCCTAGGAACTATGAGCAATTTAAGAAAGACTTGTTCCCATAGATTGTCCAGTGTATCATGCAACTGAAAGGAAATTCCAATGAGAAGTATTTTATTAATTCATTTATTCGCTTATTCAGTACATCTATTGAGCATCTATCATGTGCTAGATTATTCTAGACACTGGGGTATACCAGTGAACAAAACATTTTTTATCTTTAATTTATATATTAATGGAGGAAAACAGATATGTGTGTGTGTATAAAATAACACTACACAAGAGGGTGATATATTAATAAAAAATAAAGCAAAATAAAGGTATACAGAATGATAGAGTCCACAAATGCTACTTTGTCAATTCTGTCAGATGATATGACTTTTTTGCAGAGACCAAAATTTGTGACTTTAACTTTTTAAATATTAAAATTGAAAAGATAATTAATGAGAGAGCATATTCTTGGAGTCCTTTATTTTACAGATCGATAAAGTGGGATCTAGAACAGGGGTTGACAAACTCTTTAAAAGGCCAGTTAATATTTTCCATTTTGCAGGCTAGACAGTGTCTGTCATAACTAACCAATCCTGCTATTGGAGCACAGAGACAATACATAAACAAAATGTGACTGTGTTCTAATAAAACTTTATTTATACAAACAGGCAGTTGGTAAGATTGTCTTTCAAGCTGTAACTTGTCTACCCTTCATCTAAAAAACTGAAAAGACTTTCTCAAGGTCACACATTTGATGAGTGATGACAGAAGAGATGACAAACATGTTTTTTCTGTGGTCGAAAACAACAAAGGCATCTTTAGAGTAGATTATCACGAGTAAAAAAAAATAGGATTAAATAAAAAATAATATGTCAAGGGTGAAAATAGTACCCACTTAACTGCTGGCACCTGAATTTATTTTAAAGAAGGAATGGCCTTTGTTTAGGAAAACAGGTTGATAAGCTATTTCTGGGAGAAGGTGACACCCTGAGGACCTGGTTTAGCCGGAAGCAATGAAAGAAAAGGGATGGCTCAATGACTGCATTAGAAATGAACAGAAATTAAGGGAAAAGGAGGGAGTAGACAAGAACAGAGAAAGTAGAGAAAAGGAAAGAGTGAAGAGCCAATCAACAGAACAGAGTGAGCAAAGGCATCTTAAGCAAAAGATGTGTAATCAATTTTAATAGACTGAATTGCCACAATGCAAACCTCGTACTGTCCTTCAAAGTTAAGTAAACTGATGCACAAATCAAAGGACTTTTGTGAATGGGTTTTTGAGGATGTATGTGTGGGAGTAGGGAGAATTAAGGAAGCTGAGTATCTTGTCTGCGCCAATTCTTTTATGTGTGTGGCATTTAATTAAATCCCAACCTTCTATAGCACAACCATCTGTTTTTGCTATTCTTGTAGTTAAACATTGCCAGAGAAAGTCCTGTTACCAGAGAGTATTGGTCCAGTTATAAATAAAAAAACTCTCCAACCTCAAAGGGGCCCTCAACAGTGCCTGTAGACTCTTCTACTTTTTGCAATAGCTACATCAAATCTTCACTCAAACCTTTAAGCTTTCTCCTCTGTCTCTCCAGTTTATCAGACTTAATCTGACATTTTAAAAGAAAGGAGAAGGCATCAGATGGTAACTCTTTTATCTTTCCCTCACCCATCAACCAAATCTGTACCTTTGAAGTATCCTTCTTCTCTTCTGTGAAAAGAGAGGGCTGGCTCTTCCCCTATATAAGTTCATGCCACCTCATGAACTATACACGATTTGTTATCTCTTACCACTCTCATATTCTACACTCTCTCATAGAGCTGAATCCTTCACATCAGGACTTAAGTTATTACTATAAAAAAAAAAACCTTTCCCTGTCCCATATACCACTACTATCTATTAGCCTACCCCTTTTCTCTTCTCTACCACTTAGCTTCTTGAAGGAGTTGCTGGAACAGCTCTTTACCATCTCCTTTAGCTTAAAATCTCTTCTTTTGGATCCCATATTAGTAGTCATTTGTTTTTCAGGGATGCATCTCTAACCTCCTACACTAGATAAAATCTTATTTTATGTTTTTGCACCATGATATTCTCCCCCATCGTAGCATGTATCATTCATAATGTTCTATTGTGTGATTATTAATGTCTTCCCACGCTAGCCTATTGTTTCCTCTACAACCAGCCCAGTTCCTCACACATAATGTAGTGTAACAAATAATAGGGTCTCAATAAATAATTGTTAAATGAATAAATAAATGAGTGATGCCATCACTGGATAAACATTTTATAAACATTTTGTATCATGTACAAATTCAGAATAAACAGGAGAGTAGAGCCAATGGTGACCATGACATTATAACCTCTTTGGGAATATGCAGAAATTTACGAAATGGCATCAAACTTTCTATAAGCCATGAAATTAAAGGTTAAACAAACTTTTCTAAGCTATAGCTGATAACTGGATTGTAGGAAAATATATCCAGTATATGCAGATTGCAATTCAAATGGAAAATTAAGAAGAGCTGAAAAATGTTTAACTTGGTGATGTTACAGGGGACCACTATTGGGGTACAAAATGAGGTCTTGACTAATCTCTGCAGTTGCAAAACAAGGACTTTACCTGCCAAATGACTCAACAATTTGGTGAATTTTTAATAGTGGTCACCTCATTCTAATATTTAAAAGGGTATATATTTTTTCAAAAGTACACCTCATTAAAAAATAAAAGTTCATTAATATGTATTATAAAGTAAGGTCCAAATAGGATTTTCACTGTAGTTATCTCACAGAGGGACATCGCACCTGCTACATTATGAGCCATTCGTGCTGAGCAAAACCTACTTAAACAGATCTTAATACCCCTTCTTGGCTGGAAGGGATCATCATAGTCATAGAATGTGTCATATTTTACATCTTGGGTTTTGTAAGCATTAGATAAAGCTATGATTCCCAGGTATTAATCCAAGTCTTTCATCAGTTCCTTGTCAGGCACCCGGTGTTCCACAAGTTGGTTCCCCCAATTTATCATCTCCCTTTTTGACTCAAATTACTCACAGCTGTGATCCAACATTGGCATAGTTCCTAAGAAGGAGGGGTATACAAGAGCTGTTATTGGGCAAATAATAGAAGCCGTCACACAACCTATGTTTACTTACAAGGTTTGCAAACTTTGAAAATGCTGGCTGTCTGACTTGTGAAAGATTCCCATTGGGAATGGAACCCCATTATTTAGATTTGTATAGCATTCTTGCCCAAGATTGGGAATCATACCACTTGGGCTATGAATCATTTTTAGAAAGTATATAAATAGTTTATGAATGACTCTTTGAGGGCAAATCTAAGTAGAAAAAGTTGAAGGGATTTGACAAACACATTCTTGTATATAATTAATGTGCAAATGTATAAGGGCATTTGAAACAATATAGATATACTTGTCTGTCTTTTTATGATAATCTTTAGGGGCAAAAGTAAAAGTTGTTCTTCCTTCTGCTGACTTTATTTTCTCTGTATAGAGAAAAATATCAATGAAAATTTATCTCTTACCATACTAGAATCGAGGAAATTTAGGAAATCATGCCTAGGAGATCATGTCTACCCAGTTCTGGATTGTACTTTATTGTACTTTAAAGTCGATAATTTAAGAAATTCATAAATATTCCAGATCCCTGAGCCTCAGAGAGGATAAATAATTTTCCCGTGTTCATATAGCCATGAACAAACCCAGTGACAAATCTGGGTTTCAAACTCAAGTGAATGGACATCAGAACTGAGGCTTTTAACCAATCTCTCAGGCACCCTCTTATTTTGTTTCATGTGTTGACAGGACTTAAATATGATTTAAACAAAGGCAAAACAGAAGTCATCAGCAGGGGTAAAGATACTATAGTAACATATTTACTCATTACATATAAAATCTATTGTTTTATGAAATTATTCAGTTAGTAAAGGAGAACTTCCTACAACCTGAAAGTTATCATTCAGAGCTTTAGATTCCATAGATTAGCATTTTACCTCAAAGGCCCATTAGTTTTACCCAGTGAGAAGATACAAGTTCTGTGTTTCCAAGTGTGTGGAGAAGCAGGCATTCTCATCCTGAGCTGAAGAAAAGTGTTTCAATCTTCTCAATAGGCATGTAAAAATAAAGTTAATTCTGACATTTTATATATATAATTGGCTTGTTTAAAAATATTTTATGGAATTCATTGCCACGGTTTTTTACTGCAACATAATCTTCAAGATTATAACAGTTGTGTAATCGTTATTGTTAAAAACCTGGTAGGTAATATGCAGTAATACTTTTTCACTCACCGAAACTTTCACTCTTACTGAAACTAGGCACTGGTGCAGAAGTCTCTTCAGACCAGAGTGCTTTTATTTTTACCACTGAAAAAAACTGACTTTGGAAATTTTCAATATATTTCAGAAATTATTCTCCCAGGAATTGGAAGCTTAAAAGAAGGAGCTAATGTTATTCAATTTGTCTTAAGATATTGATCCAGATCACTTTGAGGTCTACACTTGATCCCTTTGGAATTATTTTTCTTTCTTTTTTTTTTTTTTTAATAGGCCAGGGGCTTAATAGATATCCAGAAAGATAAACTTCAGCAATAAAATAACAAAAAAATAGATAAAACATATTTTTTAAATTTCTGAAAATGTGTAAATGAGTCAGCAGGAAAGTAAGGGAAATCTTAAGAAGTCAAAAATAAAGTAAAGTAATAACCTCAGAGATGCAAGCAAGCTCTCAAACCGGAGCTTGCCCTACAACTTCAGCCAAATGGAGAGTGTAGGTAAAGCTGAGGGTTCAGAAAATATACGGAACCATATTGGATGTTGTGGAATATATCTAGGGCCCCAAGGTTTACACCTCCACTGAAAGATTTTTAAAATATGCCTCACAAAGGGAGACAGTAAGGAAACTATTCTGTCTCTAAACTTTGGATCTGTATCTCCCCTAATATGTATTTGGGGCCATAGTTTATATTTTTGGGGTGGTCCAAAAAGCCTCAAGCCAAAAAACTATATTACCATTGTCTTGGATGGTAATACTCAGAGTGCCTGGCAAAATACAAATTTTAAAAATCATCCCTAGAAGATCACAACATCTACCCAGTTCTCAAAATATCCCCATAGAAAAAGTTCAAACACATATTAACTTGCAAAAAAAAAAAAAAAGAAAAAAAAATCACAAGACCTACACAGAAGCAAAACATTGTGAAGGAAAGAAATAAGCAACAGCTGGTACCCCAAAGCAAAAATGAAAATAGACAAATGCTTTTTTAAATTCCATTTATTTTATTGCATTTTAGGTTTTGGGGTACATGTGAAGAACATGCAAGATTATTGCATAGGTACACACGTGGCAGTGTGATTTGCTGCCTTCCTCCCCATCACCTACATCTGGCATCTCTCCCCTTGCTATCTCTCCCCAACTCCCCACCCCCCACCGTCCCTCCCCTATTTCCCCCCAACTGACCCCAGTGTGTAATGCTCCCCTCCCTGTGTCCATGTGTTCTCATTGTTCAACACCCGCCTATGAGTGAGAACATGCAGTGTTTGATCTTCTGGTCTTCTGTCAGTTTGCTGA